GATTCAAACTCGGCATCCCGGCCACGGGCTGACCAGCGGGCTGAGGCTGTGGCCCCCAGTGCGCGCAGGCGCGCACGCGAGGAAACAGAAAGCGAGGAAGATGAGGTCCCCCTTGCTCGGCGTCGAACAAGCGGGGGGAATCAACCCGCACAGGCGGCGCGTCCCGCAACCGTGCGTTCTCCCAATGCGCCTTCAGCAGCTGCGCGGGCAGCAGTAGAGCCTGCCTCTGCCTCAGCTTCAACATCGGGCCCCGGGATTGCTTATCCTGAGGGTTTCAGCTACGTGCGGGCGGAGTGCCAGCCCGCCATGGTGCAAGGCATGCACAGCTTTGTGCCCCCCGCAGACATTAAGCGGGCAAAGGCTTTTGTGCAGCAGCATGGCGGGCAGGTCGCCAATGATAAAACTAATGAATGTAAGTGTTTGCTCGTATTCAAGTAGTTTATTTTTTCTTCCTGATACTTATGACTGTTGTTATTTGGCAGGCATTTAACTACGCTGTGGCGCTGTATGAGAGCGAGCAGGGGGCTCGTGCAGAAAGCAGCGAGCTCGGTTCAAAGTGCAAACAGCTAGCTGCTGAGAAGGCTAGCCTTGTGGACGATGTGAATCATCTGCAAGGCTCCGAAATGGCGAACCGAGCTGCGGCTGCAGAGAGCCGGGCGGATGAGCTCGCCAACAGGAACAATGAGCTCAGGGAGGAGCTTGAGCGCGCCCGAGCTGAAAAAGAGAGTGGGATCCAGGCGGCGAAGGACGAGGCCGCCAGGGTTGAGGAAAGGGCGAGGAAGGCTCAGTCCGACAGGGACCGTGCTCAACATGAGCTGAGCTCCCTGAGGCACCAGGTCGCCGAGGCGGATCGAAACCTTGCTGCGGCCGGGGGAGCGTTGAACGAGCTGAAGGCTTCCCATGCTCGCTCTGTCAGCATCGCCCGAGCTCAAGGGGCGGAATGGTTCGTTGGCTCGGCTGCGTTTCAGGACGCCGTGGCGGTGGTGTCTGTAAATGTAACCACGGAGATCTACAACGAGATCCGTGGGAAGGTGCTGCAACACCGCCCGGACTTCCCGATAGGCGAACTGGCGTTCTTTGA